TGTGCAAAAGCTAATTGATCAGGCGCTTAAAAGCTCGGATACGGCAAGAAATAGGCAGAAAACTATATTACGATAGAAAACGCCGTGAAGCAGATTTTAAAGTTGGGGATAAAGCGGAAATTTTCTTTATCAAGTGCCCCAGACAATTTTATGGCAAAGCTAGCTCCAAAGTTTGAAGGCCCCTATGTAATTCAGGAAATCAAAGGAGTAGTCTTATATCTTAAGAACGAGAGAGGGGAAATCTGTAAAGCAAGTCCCGACCAGGTGAAAAAATACTATAATCCAAATGATTTTGAAATCCTTAAAAGTTTCTTGCAGGACTCAAGTCTAAACGAAATAGAAGGGCCAGAGACAACAACTATTCCACCACCCAAGAAACAGAGAACTGAAGAGAGACCTAGCACTTCTACAACCCGGACGTCGGTATCAAAAAGAAAAAATAATTTTCAAACTCCAGGCGTTTAAGAAAAACAAAAATACAGATGAACCGGGTAAAGAAACCGTGGGAAAGAGAAAAAACAAAAAAAAACACCACCTACAAAGGATAGCAGGAGAAATTACACATCAAGGAGAACGCGCACACACGGCCACAGAGTCAGGTGCCAGCAAGGCCGCCGTTCCGGAAACTGAAACGCCAACAGGAGGCACAAAAATACGAGGAACAGAAGAAATTCAAGAAGGACTCCAGACCGGAGGACGTCAAGACCAGCCGTCCCAGGGAGAAACGGAAAGGCCAACAACCAGACGATTACTCCGCCAAGAGGCCAGCATGTAGAGGACGCAAAAGAAAAAGTCAGGTGGACGACACTCGGAGGGCAGTAAGGAGAAGATTAACATCCATGAAACCTCTAACTTGGGACCAATTCTGCCAAAAACGAATGACGGAGTTTCAAGCATCGAAAACTCAAAGATAAGTTAAAACCTTCTATAAATTTTTTTTTTCTCTTTTGTTCCGAAATGTTATGCATAAGTACGAAGTTCTATGTTTTGACGAAAGTCAATATGTCTCGGTTGAGACTTAGTTTTGTTTTACTTATTTATTAGCTAAGGCAAAAGTATTATTTTCTTTAAGTGTAAAAGCTAAAAACAAGCATTTTCTGTTGGTCGAAAGACTAATTCTGTTATGTTAAAGCCAAAATTTGGCCAAAGATAAAAATAACTTCGTATTCTTGTATTAATAAGAATTTTACTTTCAGTGCCGCCAGCTTGGCGAAGAATGAGTAAAGTAAAAATTTATTTTCTCTTATTCATTTTATGGTAAATTGTAAAAAGCATATGTATTAAACTTTTGTAAATGTATGTAAATACTTGAATGTTATGTAAAAGTAGAATTTAGTCTAGAAGCATAAAATTGTAGATGCTAAAAGTGAATGCTTAAAAGCAATGAAGTCAAAATTTAAGTATTAAACTGTAAAGTCATGCTTTAGAGCGAAAGCCTGCATGTTTAAAGATGAATGAGGGGGAAGTTAGAATGAATGTGTTTTGTAGGGTTCTTCACCTACATTTGAATTTTAAGAATATTAAAGTAGCTCATTGAGTTGTAGAATGTCGAGTAAGGTGTGTCTATTTGGTCGTTGAATTCTAACAAATCATGGTGGTTAGGGGAAGTGTTGTAAGACTAAAACACGAATATTCCCGTTTGACACCACACACGGTGGAGAGCCAGGGTAAAGTTAAATTAATGCTTGAAAAATTGAATGAATGTGAAGTAAGCAATAACTAAGAAAAATGAATCGTTTAAAAACAAAAATTTATTGTGTCAAGAAAGTGTAAATTATAATGTATGTAGAAAGATACTGATACTTATTCCTTCCAGATGCTGGAAGGAAAGACCAAGATTGATTGATGAAGTCCAGGAAAAGTTGCTGTAAGAAGAGAGCTTTGTAACGATCAACAGAATTTTAGTATACAAATTGGTTACATAAGATATTTTTTTTTGTGTAAACGAGGTTCTCGCCAATTAGTTCAGAATTAGAGAAACTTACAACAGGTCGTTTGTAGGACCTGCTTCCAAGTTTTCCAAATTCTGGCAGCAGGCAAATGTAGGGTTTATATTTATTTTAACTAACATTTATTTTAAGTTTAAACTATCTTTCCTGTCAGGCCTTACTTTCCCCTGGAACTGCCAATGCCAGAATATGTAAATTTGAGTAGAACGCGCAAGCATTCAAATTATCAGCGGAAGTATTATGATTTAAATAGAAGGAAACAAGTTCGGTGTGTGATATTCTTACTTAGCGAGCGCGGAGGTAGTTAGCGAGAATTTGAAGGACCCCGCGTTTCGGCCTGTGTGCTTGGCGGGAAGTAGTGTTAATCGTTCCAGTGAGCTTCAAGTCTGCTGAATTAGCAGCGGTATTGTAAAACACGGTGAGTTAGTTATTTTAGAGAGCCTCGTAGTTAGAATCTTGTCTTTAGTTTCTTTTCAGGTTATTATTTTTATTTGACTGCCGAGTTGGCACCGTCTGTAAGCGTCAAGAGGACGCAATTGTAATTTATTACGTTGAATAAAAAGGGACTTAAACCCTTTACAAGACTCTGTGTTTTATACAGCTTTCACAGTCACCTCTTGGTTGCGTGCAAGTTGGAGGCGCGCAACGTTATAACTTACTTATTTTTTTTTTCCTATTATTTTAGAGTCACCATCGCACCCTTGTTTGGTCAAGAGTTTGCGTTTGGTGTTTGAGAGGGATTGAATCGGCTCTGCATCCAGTTGGGAAGTTTTAACGATTTAACCGACACCCTGAATTTAGAAATGGGATCTTTTGCTGATACTATATATTTGGTGTCAGTTTGGGATCTTTATTTATTATTTACCTTTCAAGGGAGTTACCATTTAAAACCTTTGATTTAAACGATCAAATGGCGGAAGAGCAATGGGTAACATTGCCTAAGCTCTTTTCCTTCTTTTCATAAGAAGGAAGCGCCACTAATGTTATGTTATGTTATGTTACCATAAATGAAAGAACAACTTGGTGATAATCCAAGGAGCACCCTTAAATATGGGCTAACCTCGACATTTTGCTGCTACTATAAAGCACAGTGTAAAAATAAAGTTTTAGATTGGAGGCAGATTCCAAAGAACAGGAAATTGTCTGCTGCCAATACTGGCATTTTCTTTTTTTTTAAATCTAATTTGACAAGATGACACCAAACATCACTTGAGGTTCTTCTATGCGATAGGGTGAACATGTTCTGCAACCTTGAAAAAATATATTAAATGGAAAAATTTATGTTTATGAATATTGTAGAGACATTAGGTTAATTGGAAGCAGGAAAGATGAAAAATGAACAACGCCTTTGCTGACAATGGAATGGCGGACCTCTGGAACACGCACCCAGGGTGCAGACCACCACACCACGAAGGCATGCCAAGAAGGTGGGAGAAATACCTTATATACTCCCTCTTTTAAAGGGAGACTGGGGTTTTAGGGGAACCAATCGCCAAATTCCCGGTATGGAGAATCATCACCCAACACCCTTTTAGTTCGGGTGCCACTGTAGAGACATTAGGTATATTGGAAGCAGGAAAGTTGAAAAATGAACAAAGCCTTCGCCGAAAATCGAACTGTGGACCTCGGGAATACGTGCCCAGCGTGCAGACCACCACATCATGAAGGCATGCCAAGAAGGCCGGAGAAATACCTTATAATATATACTAATTCTAAAGAAAATTAAAGAGAAATTCACAGCTCTTGATTACAAGATATTAGTAAAATAAGTAAATAAATAAAAATACAATTTATTATTTTACATAAATATTACAGTAATATTGTATAAAAAAGGTAATACCTAATATACATAACTATATTTTGATTTAGTAATCAAAGAACTAAAATGAAACTCAAAGGAACAGCTCCGAGAAAGAGAAAAGAGCAAATGATCAAGATCTACAAGAGCCAGATTGTGGCTACAGCAGGAGCGATGACAACAGCGGATAATGAAAACTCCGTAGGAATCAGAACTGTGGCTAGAGTATGAGTGATGAAAAGAGTGATTAATCACGACTCCGAAGGACTCAGATGTGTGATTAGAGAAGGAGTGCTCGAGCGCTGACAGCTCAGAATCCGAGGAACTGGTTCCTATAATCGAGGTACTTTAAACAGATCTTCGCACTGACAAATAGGAAAAAAAAAAAAAAACTCAATTGATTTACAAAAAGGGGTGCTCAATTTCGCTGAGATGTGTCGGTTTATTTTATGTTTTGTTTCATAAATACAAAATTGAACACAAGCAAACCAAAGCACAGATATATACATAACACACATAAAAATAGATTAGGAATGTTTATGGTAAATAATAAAGGAAAGAATACTAGTGTTTACATTAAAGTAGGAAAGTTATTGGAAGAAGGGAGGAATCAAATTTTTTGGCATGCTTCCCAATAACAGCTCTCGGTGAACTGCTAAGGAACTGCCATCCCGTTTTCACCGGAGCGCTGATCATTCAATCAGTAAAGTGAATCGGTTGCGAAGTGGATCATCTATCTCTACAAGAGATCCGGCATTGTGAAGAAAAGCAGGAGATTTGGAAGCTATGATATATATATATATATATAGATAGATAGATAGATATTAAAAACATCTATATTTTTTACTTTTTAAACAATTATAATTAGGTTCTTATCATTTAAGATTTTGTACAACCAAATGTAGAAAATATATTCTTTTCTTTGATAATTCGAACCGTCAAAACTAAAGATGCTTTCAGGCAAAATAACAGTCAAGTAAAACAGAGGTCTTTGTGTTTTTTCTTGATTTAAAATGAACATCATTTTAGATATAACTTGTAAAACTAATTTTTTTTAAATACTAATTCGAAGGTTGTTGATTCTGAATTTACTATAAGTCAAGAATTATTTTAAAGTATACCAAATTGTACATATTTAGATGTTCATTATTTTGTTAAGTCAATAATATTTAAATAAGGACACAAGAATACTTAAATGAGAGTTATTCTGAGCTCCAACTTTAGATAAATATATAAAGAACAAACTTCACAAATATAAACAAAAATTTTAAAGAATTAGAAGTATTTATATACAAAAAAATATACAAGTACTAAATTAGCAACAAAAATGTGTACATATTGCTTGCATACAAAAATAAAATATGTACTGTACATTTTGTGTTCAAAGGGCACAGTATATATACATATCTATAAGACTGCTTCAGAAGTATGTAATGATAGCATAAATTTATAAAAACTGAACAAACGAGTGTAATGGAATGTAATTAAACAAATAAAAACTTTATGAGCACTTTGATGAGGGGCACATAAGATAAACAATTTAAACCAACAGGATGGTAATGTACTATGTTAAAACATTAATCATAGTCCAGTTTATTTCTATGGGGGGGGGAACATTGCTCTTCAAAAGTAATTTTTCAAGATATTTAGTCTACAGAAAAAGCTGTTGAATATACATGCTCTTTGCTATTTTTATTCTTGACTCGGTATAGTATCATCTATCTGTGAAACTAAGAATTAAACATTTATCCCTTTTCATACTGTTTCTAGCAAAAAAATTTCCCTTTTTGTGGTTCATTTTCATTCTACATTCCAATATAACCAATCTGTTCAATTTTTATAAATTTCCGAAACCTGTTCAAAACCTAAGTTTTGGATTATCCTGTTAATGCAGTTCACTTTGATAAAAAAGAAAGATCATCCTACACACACATTCATAAAATATTTTTCTAAAACTCTTCAACTTGTTTGTTTCAGTTTGACACAATGAATTTATAGAAGTTATTTTGTTGCTAGATAGTTTATATTCAATAACTAGATTACTTCAAAATTTTCAGCAATTCAATCTCAAAACATCAGTCACTATCTGTCATACCAAATTCCTCATGAACTTTCCTAACGGTAGTCTCTTCAATAACAGCTAGGAAAAAATGGGAAATAGTTAGTAATAATTAATTAAACACATTTAATATTATAAGAACACTGAAATAATAAGAAAGAAAGGAATAAAATAACTATCATTACTGCTAGATTATAAAGAACTAATTGACAAAACATACATTTTAGAATACCACATTAATACCAAATACATATCATGTGAAACATTTAAAATAGACAAAAATAATACAATAGTTAAATTTATGCTAATAATACTTAGTATCAATAAACAGCTACTCTGTCAACTTTTATGCACATTTTAACAAATAGCATGAGAAGTTATTTATTCATCAAAATTCAATATTTATAGTTTTTGAAACTGCAGCTAATTACTTCTTACATTATGAATTTTGTGTAATGTAATATGAATGGCCTTAAGAAAGCGAAGTATTGCCGGAAAGATAAGATTACAGGGGGCAAGTCTATTTAAAAGAGTTAAATGGTTACCTTGCTAAATTGACGAGATATATCGCCAAGTTAGCAATGGTTTTGGCAACAGTTTGGTCCTGTCTCTGTACAACTGTCATTTAATAACTAACTGATGGCAATATGTAACTGTAACCATATCTGCCTTTATATGTAAATTTAACATCTAGTAATTTGAAGAAATGGAAGGTATAGAGATTTCTCGGCTGCTGGGGAGGGGAACTATATAAGATTGGAGAAAGCATCAACTCTCAATTTTTAGTTGAGTCGATTACAGATTATTGAGAGATCTCTGTGTGAGCTTCGCTCTTTAAAGACATTTTGCATTGCATTGTGATTAACCTTCATAGTGGTTTGGAATGGTAACTACTGACTGTGCTTTATTCTACTGAGAACAGCTGTAAAAGTACATTTGTGGAAAGTTCCAGAACAATAAAGGGTTTCTGTGGGAAGATCAATTTCAGTAAGTTGTCATCGGTTCTGGAGCATTCAATCTATTATGAACCCGTACACATGCAAGCATAATTTTCCTTAACTGAAAATTTTAGTTCGTAATTAAGTTAACAAATGCCTAATGCTTAATCCATACTTGCCAACCTATGACACTCAAAAATCAGGAGATTTTTCACAATGTTAAAAAGACTTTTTAAATGATAAAAATATAGTTTTTAATAATGAATAACTTTAAAATAGTTACTAAGTCTAAATGCAAGCAAAACAAAATACCTTAGACAAAAAAAAAACATTTTTATTACTTTCATCGTTAAAAAAAAAAAAAAAAAAAAAAGGGCACTTTAATCAGTTTTCATACAAATGTTATGGACCAGTGGCAGATTTTGCTCTCGTTAAGAAAGAAACTTCATAATTTGTTCATAGCAATTGCCACGTAGGCCTGCTTTCGCTAATAAAAGTTTTTCTAATGTGTCATCAAATATTAGATCTAAATTTAGTCCTCGTTTTCGCAACAACACTGAAAATCCTCTCACACTCTGCATTATATGGGGCCTGTCAAGATGGCCAAACATAATTCTAGAGAGTTCACTATATTTTTAAAATTCTCATCAGCACCTTTCAATTTTCCAATTAACCTCCACTGGTGTCAATCCTAACTGATTTTATAAACTTCATCCAAGTTTTTCTAATGTAAACTGCAAAATTGCGACTGCAGTTTATCAGTAGCAACATCAATATCTCATCTTTCATGACTAACGAAGTAACACAGGAAATCTGTTCAAAAAGTACCTTATATAAAAAAAAGATGCATTTGCTAGAGCAGAAACATCAGCAACTTTAGCATGCAAAATCACTTCATCGTTGACTGGAAATTTATGTAGTGTGTAATCACATACTTGACAGAAGTAATTTCTAATGAAGATAAAACTTATTTTTGTCTTCTTCTGAAAGTTCTTCCACTACTTTTGTAGTTGCCCTCCTATTACCAAATCTTCATCTTCCTTTGATTTTGTTTCACCATAAATCACATCATATATAGAATTACAAGACAAAACACAGACTGGTTCTACAAACTTTGATAAAAGTCTTTAAACAAATCATAAATCATTGATTGCAAAACATGAATTAATGGAATTCTGCTTTGTAGAATTGTGTTCAGAACATCGAATGATGGCAAAATGAATAGTAAAAAAAAGCAAAAAGCTTTGTTAGGTCCGAAGAAAAAAAACATAAATATTCGTTCTTCACAAGATAAACTTACAGTAATCGGAAAATGTTTCGTGTGTTGAGCAATTTTTTTTTTTTATTTTTTTTATTTGAGAGAAATTTGTATCAGCTTTACGCTTATATTTGCAGTACTATTTTGAGAACTGCCAGTTGAATTGCTGAATGATGCAGAAATTACAAAAAATCAAAATTTTTTCTCATTTCAGTATTATGCAGCTGTTGGAACTGTTTTTCAATTTTTCCTTTCTTTTAGAACTCCTTTCAGATAATAATAAATATCAACAATGTGTTCATCCACATTTAATGGTAAAGAAGCTGCCCCTTTTTCAGCTGCTAAATTTAAGAGCTGACAGGTGCACCTCATAATCTGCAAATCTGAATTTGCCTTTCTTAAGATGCCTGCAACACCCCAGTCTTCAAGCCTACCATTACTGGTGCATTATCGGCACCAAGCGCTAAGCAATTATCCAGAGGGACTGCATTTTATTTTAAAGTTTTAATAATTAGCTGTGTTATATTAAAGCCTGATGAATGTCCTCCAAAAGTTGAGACAGAAAGTAAAACTGCACTCAATTTCTAAACACACTGGATTAAAAAAAGAAACAACAATTGGATACAGTTTTGAATTGGTATTATTGCTTCCATCCGTAGAGAGGCAGAACGGAGCTGTTTTAATGCAATCAATAACTGAAGATTTATTTTTCAAACCCATTTCTTTAACAATTGCAGCTGTTTTGGTCCTTGCACTTGAGTATTTCTTAGCGATTTCACTATCGGGAAACATTTTTCTAAATAAAGCTACAGCGTGATCCGATGCATTCAGTGGCAGGTTGTGCTCCAGTAAAAAGGCAGAGAACAGACATTCTGCGTTAATCACTTTTTGGTCTTTTGTTTCCGAAGAAAAATTTAATTTTTCGTTTTTTCAAAACAACTCATGTTGTCCTTGTGTTTTTGTGTATGCACATGTTTGAGAACATCTGCCCTTCCACCAAGCGAAATCGAAAAATCGCAACTACAGATGGTATACCTCGCAAATTTATTACATTTCCTTGAAGAAATAATGGAAGGAAAGTCAACTGTGTACGATTTTTTAAACGTGCACGAGTATTTCACCTTTCTTGCAGACATATGAAAAGACGATAATTTCTAAAACTATTTCCTAAAGGCACGTGTACTCACACAACTCAGGACAAGATGAACGAAGTAGCGAAAGAACATCCAAAGAACGGCCAACGGCCTTGAGCTTGCTTTGTGCTCATTGGCTAATATGTGCCAGATGACACGCAGTGGAGCTCGATGCCCATTGGACAACTGGAGAACGAAGTTTCTGGATATGTATGCTGTCAATCATTTTAGATATAATCTAGAGAAAATTCAGTTGCTTTCAGACGCCCAAAATCACTTTTTTTTTTTGTTCATATAACGAAGTATTAAGCCAAGTTCCATAAAAATCGTGAGAAATATTAAAGAATAAGAAAAAGTCGGGAGAAATATATTGTAAATCGGGTTGGCGGAAGAGCGGTCGAAAATCGGGAGTCTCCCGCCTAAATCGAGAGAGTTGGCAACTCTGTTAATCTGTCCATTAAATAAATAATATATGATTTAAAAATAATGAAATAGATACCTATTTTTCCCATAACCATCTGGGCAACATCCTTAATCTCATTGTACTCATGTAGTTTGTCAATATACCACTGGAGCTGTTCTTCTTTGTAGCCTCTAAAAATGAGATAAAAAAAAAATAAGAATCTCTTAGATTTAACTAAAATGCAGTGTGTAAGTATGTTTAGAAACTCTAAAATAAAAGGAACTTTCTGATTATCTGTACCATCACTAAAAAGTTTAACTTGTTGGCAATGCTGGCAAGCTTTTGTGAACTCATTGGGACTTTGAAGAGAAACATTTGTTCACATAATTTTACATCTATTTCAATGATGCATCCTAGTGACACCTTTTTATTTATTTATTTTTTTATTTTTTATTCTTTTGTTCTTCCCATACACATCTGTTTTTGCTTAAAAAGAGAGAGAGAGAGAGAGAGAATTGCACAAGCATGGCATTGCATAAGCATCACAATAGCAAAAGAACAATTGAAACTTCAGCATACACTCTAAGGTAATGAAAATAAAAGAAGGCAACACCACACTTCCATTATGACAAAAGTGTAATCAATGCAAAAAAGAAATATTAATCAGGAAAGTGTTGAATTTTGGAAGTGCAAATCCACATGTACTCAAATGCATGTTTTACATGCATATCTTTTGCCATATAAACACTTTTTCATGGACTTAAATAGTTTGGATTTTATCATATGTGCATTTTGTTAATAAGATCTTATAACAGAAAAGAAGGAAAAAAATGTGCGCTGTGGATGCAATCAGCTGAACAATGTTCAGGTTTACAGAGGTTAAATGTTGCCATATATTTTATATTCCCTATTAATTTTGTATCTGGGATGCAAACTGATGAAATTTTCTGGATGGACATCTTCATCTGTAAAAATTGTTACTACTTGAAATTGTAAAAAAGGTTCCAATGTTTTGATACTTTTTTTTTTCCTTCTGGCATGTTTATTCACAAAGTTTATACTGTATTTGAAAATTTTGAAATTATTTGAAAACACTGAAAAGTATCAAAATGTTTCATTGAATTATTATATGTTTTGAAGCTAAGAATCACAACAATCTGAAAGCAATTTAAAATGGAATCCTAAATTTTAAAACTTTATTTTGGAAAACAGATAAGCTAAATTTTAAGATTCCAATAACACAATCAATTATGATGATACAAACCATAACATGATGATCTAATTTATGATCTGCCTCCTGTATAATGTTTTGATGTTTGTTTTAAATGAGCTGAGATGAATGAGTTTTACAGCATGAGTTACTCGTTTTACTTATTGTTTACTTAAGTTACTATTTATTTTACTTTAGTTTCCATCTCTGGCATTAGCAGTGACATCAGCATCCTAGTTAATATGATTCAGAAAGGCATAGAGATAAAAGTGTGCATGGGGTGGAAACACTCAACTGATCAATGTTTGTGTATAAAAGTAATGTTTTTAAAATAAGAGTAATCGAGAACAGTCTTAGACAGATCACTGCACAGTAAAAAACTCTTAGTTCTCTCACTCAACTGATCAATGTTTGTATATAAAAGTAATGTTTTTAAAATAAGAGTAATCGAGAACAGTCTCAGACAGATCACTGCACAGTAAAAAACTCTTAGTTCTCTCCATGTGCTCAGTTGCAATCAACATTGAGCAGAAAAAAAAAACACTAGTTGTCTCTGCACCCTTGATGAATTAACATGAATATTAACACATCAAAAACATATTATTTGAGAAAGAAAACTGGAGATTAAAAACAAGGGTTGAACATTGAACAAGCCACAAGCACATTAGTTGGTCATTTTAATTTAAAGCATTACTTGATCCGTTAACAGAATCACGAGCTTACTAGTTGTTTTATAAAGTACTTCCATACTAGTGGAAAAGTCCAATAGTTGAAATGGCATAAAAGAAAAAAAAATCTTAGTTAATTGTTTTATTGAGTACTAATACCAATGGTTTAAAAATTAATCACCATTCTTTATTATGAATTCTCAAGCATATCACACCTGTATTTACCACCTATATTATATATATACTACCACCTCAAGCCTACCTTTTATATTCATTATTTAGAAATGATCAAGATTCTACTCACCAAATATTGTTGAGAACAAAAATGCATGGATAACTGTATCTTAATTTACAGATTAAATAAAACAATCAAATAGTATATATTTATTTGGGACTTTTTCGTTTTGCTGGCGCAGAACAATTTAAGTCGCCAATAATGGTACGACTGATGCCAAACGAAATATCCTCGCTGATAAAGTTTTACGTCTCATTTTCAAAACAAGTCGCAGCCATTTCTTATCAGATTAATTGTTTCTTTCAATACTGGCATGCAATTACATAGAATTTTTACCAGATAGTTCAATTTTATGCCTAAGGCCATTTGCGAGAATTAAGTAAATTAGGATGCAATCACATCACTCACCCGAAGGTGAGAATATAGAAAAGGCAAAGTCAAGGGTTAAATTCATGAATTCTAATGAGAATGCACTAGTGAAGTAAAGTACTGTGGTTTTACATAATTTCTGAGTAAGCTATTCGTACCGAATTGAAATAATTCTTGCATTTAAACTTGTATTCCAAATTAAGATTTGACTTGAAATAAATGTAGATAATAACTGAGAGAATTAGATTTTTGTAGTGCAGTTTATGTCAGATGAGATCACTTGGGGTCACGTGATATGAACCGGCGAATCGGGATTTTTAACCATAAAATCATAATAAATTTTAAAATTAATATCTTTTTACAAATTTATTGTCTTTATTTATTGGCTTTTTACAAAATTTTAAACGATATTAAAATGTTTATGCCTTCAAAATAAAAAATTCTTAGAACTAACATTTGTTAACATTTTTAATGTGTATTCTATATTTTGTCGCCAATACAGTCTGCTTGGCGAGATTTGCGCCAGCGAAACGGAAAAGTAACATTTATTTTATCTGATTAGTGATTAGTACTAAATTCTCCCAAAATGTGAGGCAATTTCTCCAGTTAATTTTGTCAGCAAACAATTAGATTCTGAATGTAGACATTCTGGGTCATGATGAAATAACAGGAAAAATCAGTTGCACATTGGTAAGCTAGATCAAAAGCGAAAAATAGTATTTTATGAACCATGAATTTCGCAGTCATGACATTTAAAAAATGCTATCAGAAGCTATTAGAAAGTGTCTTGCACATGCAAAATTATTACCAGATTTAATGAACTGTGATCCTACTGTTATTCTAACTTCTGAATCTATTCTTACTCATGAAAACTGGATGAATTTCTGTAATGATATTGTTACATTTGAATAGTATGCTGAATGCAATTAATATCTTCTAGCATCATCTTTGTTAATAGTAAAGCAAATGATAAATGTGAGAAAAGAGGAAGAAGATAGTATATCAAGTCAGCAGCAATCCAGATTTTGAAATGCACTTGCCACTTTCAACACTGCAAAATTATGCTTAACTAAGGATAATTTTAATGAAGATATGAGATGGCCATAAAAGAATAATGAAATTTATCCAGTGAACTCCAGAAAATCTTAATAAATCAAAGTAAACTAATTACAGAAAAGTTTTCAGTTAAAATTATTTTTAGCTTTCAAAAATATTTACTCAACATATTAAACGATTTTAGACAACAATTTTAATCAAGATAATATCTTTTTCAAAAAATTCTGATTAAAATAAAAATTTATTCACATATTATTCAAGTTTAAAAAATTCATAAATGCTAAAAAAAATTCATAAAAATGGTATACACTTCATCAGCAATAAGTAGCTCTTTTAGGTATATTTCTGGTACATCTGCGCTCATGAAAAGTCCCAATCTTTGGTGACTTTTAGAACTGACAAGAAAAATTTGTTTGGCTATCTTTAAAACTCATAGGTGCAGTTCTGTTCATTTATAACAATAAAAAGAAGCAATTTATAAGAAAAAACAAAAACCTATTTTGCTGATATTTACATTTTTATAACCATAGTTACTGTTATGCAAGTTGATTGCTAAATATAGAAAACATGTAAATTCTCACATTTATGGTACATACATACATGAGTAGGCTGTTGTTCCATATACTCGAAAATGTGCCAAAATACAGTAATCTTATATCAAATGTTGAAACCGGGGGGGGGAGAGGTAGGAATAATCAATAAGTACCCTCTTTTATTTATAGTTTCCTTTATACTTTTTACATAGAATTGAATTGATTTTTTGTTTTGTTTTGTTGGTTCTACTTAAATTTCATTTATAACTATTTCATAGCTATATATTTTGTTTTTTGGCATAGCATCTAAATGACATTTTACTGTATATGTTTCTACCTAACTCCTGAAAATTATTAATCTGGATTATCTGAAATACTTTTGCTCCAGTTATTTTAGATAAAAGTATTTGATTTAAGTGAATTAAAAATCTAACAATATATAAGTCAGGTCACTAAGAATGTGGTTTAATTCATCACTGGGATACTGAGATGATTCAGTGATGATGAAGAGGTAGAGAAACACTCTCAATATTGTTTTCTAAAGGGTGTAATGAAAACATTCTTTTTTCCTCCCAGCTATTGAAGAGGTATGCTAACTGCATTGATATTAACTGGGATTAGATAAAAAAATAATGGCAAAGGTTTTCAAAAAATATTTTATTTTTGTATGCTAAAAATTTACTTAATGTTTTTTGCAAATAAACATATAATACTTACCACAGCATCATACACTGGGGGAGGGGAAAGGAATAAAAAAGAAAAGGGAGGGGAAAATAGCCAACAAAAAATAATACATGTTTATAAACATTTTTCAGACAGCTTGCTTGAAATGGACTGGATAATTTAATTAATATAAAGATGTAAGAGTTATTTGCCTAAGCTCTATCTCAGTTCTGACTGAAAGAACATCAGAATGAGTAGAAGTAGAATTAAAACTGTTCACTAAAACTGATAGATTTTGATAAATATAGAAGACTAATAAGAGACTTTTTTCACCCCTAGAGACTCACTATTAGAAGAACAAAAACTAAAATAATAAAAATTAATTATTAGTTTCTCCTTTCCTGACATAAGATTATATTTTACCATTGCAAATGTCCAAAGCTGTTTTACTTGGATTGAAGAATGCCATAATATACTCGCAAGAAATATTAAGAATTCCTCAAGAAATAAAATTTGTATAGGGTTGAATAGACCAACCATAAATTTTATTAACAGAAGGAAAAATAAAAGTTGAAAATACAAAAAATTTGAGCAGTTTTGTAATTCATAGAAAGGGAATAACAATAAGATTTTTACAGTTGATCTTCAGAATGGAATGTTATTTTTAGCAAGAAAAACAATGAGAAGAAACTGAAATAAGAACATATATATTTAAGTAGAATCAATTTCAAAATATGTTTTATTTTTCACCTACAATCAATTGAAGATTTGGTTCCAAAATGCAAATGCTCCTAAAAGTGCCAAGAAAAAGATTTTTTTCGTAAAATTACAATTTCAAAACGCTCCTGCCACTTTATACTTTTTCTTTTAGTTGTTTGGTCACATTTCAAATTACACATATATGTACTTAAAAGTATTAGGAAAAATATTCTTGGATGTATATTCCCCACCAGCAGCTGAGTGGTTATGACCACTGAATGCTGGTAGTTTGGTCAGGTTCAAATGCACGTGAAGGGGTTGACTACATGGCTGTTTTCAGGGTTTCCCATATGTGTAACCTCAATATGAGTCAGTTTTCCTCAGAAAGTCTGCCATGAATATATCCCTTCCCTTACAAAGATAGCCCTTGTATGCTTTGTCCAAGTAATCTAACCTTAGATGTATACTGTTTTGCTGGCTAGAGGGTTACAACAAAAATACAGCATTTCAAAAAAAAACATTATTGATAACAGGTTGCTGACTTCAGTATTCTGAGGGAGCATAACCCTAAATGATCTAATGACACTTGGGGATCTAATCTAAATTTAATGATTCTTGGGAAACATAATCTTAAAAAAACTTTGTAAAAGACATTTCTACATATATTTTGAATTCTTAAAAAAGGCATACAGGAATTTAAGAAACAGACTTACTGATTCTCTAGATCTGTGATACTTTTCTTCAGTTCTTCATTTTTGTCCCACATTTCTTTCACAGTATTTTTTAAAACATCAATGGGAACATCTGCATTAACATCTGTTTCCTTTACCTAAATTGGAAAGAAAAATAAGCTTAAAATATTTAGATAATGTGAACAACACTCTGAATAACAGAAATTCTTAAATTTAACATTAATAAATAAGTATATTTTTAGATAATGTAAACAAAACTCTGAATGACAAAAAATCTTAAATTTTAATAAATAAGAATATTTTTCTAAATTAAGAAAAATAAAGTTTCAGTTTTTGAATAATGTAAAACCTAAATTATCCACATTATGCATCTCATTTTTGCTCTTTATTTTAAAATATGTATGCAGAATTTGTGCAATTATCTAGTTTTTACTTTCCATGCCATGCCCACACAACTGAGAGGTGCAATAAAGTTGTTATGGTGATTTCTAGACAAGTATGTGGAATGACAGTTCAAGATGGAGTAATCACAACAAAACTTCGACACAAACACAGGTCGACCATGCTCACTTTCAAAATTAAGTCTAAATTTAGGCCTGCAAAGTAACAACTAAGGACACAGTCCCCAATGATAGGATAGTTGGGATGGGCACAGTGGAACTCTTTATACACCCATCTTCTCATGGAGAATTCTGGGTAGTTCACTGAACCAGTGAAGAGTTGCATTTTTATAAAATAAGCTCTACAACAGTGTTGTTAGTTCTAAAAAATAAGATTTATTGAAAATTCCACAAGTGATATATTAGTTAATACATAACTTTTGAGCATTAAAGGTGTTTCAATTATACAACTTTTATTTTTTTTTCGCCCCATCCTACTGTATACAGGGTTCGTACACATTTCTGCACACAGAAATTAAGTACTTTTAAGGACGTTTAAGGACCATTAACGAAAAAAATTAAGGACCTATTGGCAAGCAGAAGCTGAATAAATTCAGTTAAAGATATTACCTATGCCTGAACTTCAATTTTGTAATACCATCATAATAGATCCGCAAGTGGAATGCATTATTATTAAACATAATTAAAAAACAAAACTTAGAATAAAATCAACTTTAAATAAAATATACCAAGTAGGATTGAATATTTTACACTTACAATAAATAGTTGGATATATTTGAAAGAAGATTAGTACTAAGTTAGCTTTACTGATTTTTTCTTTTGTCTCATTTTGTCACATTCTTCCTCAGCCTGGAGGTTTAGTAAATACAGTCAAAAGTCGTTAATCCGGACTCCTCGGGACTTCTTCGATTCCGGATTATCGATTTTTCCGGATTATAGATCATCAGTTTAAATCTGGTAAGATGGCATGCAGAAATTACAAAATTAAAAATATGAAACCGTAATTTATGAAATAAAGAACAATTATGATCTAAAGGGTATCAAAATTTACAAAAAGAAAAAGCTTAATATTTATTTGTTTACTTTATTAAACATTTCCTTCAATGTAAGTTGCTTCGTTCATGTGATAATACTTTCTCTTTAATTCTATTAAACAGACATAATTTCTTGTTTAGTTACAAAGTTCCGCTGTTCAGTCCTATAATTGCTGTGTTGAGAATACCGACTAATTTGTCAATCGAAAGTTTTCGTTTTCAATAACCTCTTTCACTTTCTTCACTATCGTAAGCGAATTTAATGACGAGGAACTTGATTTAAATCATATCAGACGGATCATCGAGTAAAATACTACACGTAGTACGGATTATAAACCAAATAAATAAAAATCTGCCCTGAAGATAAGGATAGTGCTGAAGATAACTTCCAATCCCCCGCGTGGAAATTGATAACAGATTTCAGATTTCAAACAACTTTCGCTTGTAGATCAAAGTCAATTAAATATATATCGGAAATTATTGACTAATCTTTAATCATCATAATCTAATACGTTTCTGCGCCCCCCCCCCTGCCGCAGAGCAGCGTGAATTGATAAACCGATTTCGATTCAAAACATACTTTCGCTTTGTAAATATTATGGAAATTCTATTTGACATAATCGAAGTTAACTTTACTTGCTTATAAAAATAATAAGCCGGATTCGCAGATTAAGGAACAACGCAATCGCAATTACTGCATTAGATAACTTTAGTTAGCGTATAACTCGTACACTTAAACGCGATGCGCACAAACATATCGCAGCCGTAAGGGTCTTGCGTCTTGTAAACGCTGGGCAGCGTGGACGCGCGCATGCGCAAAACCTTTGGGAGCTTGAGGGTCCGAATTATGATCATTCGGATTATGGGTGTCCGAATTAACGACTTTTGACTGTAGTAGGTAGATTTTTATGTCAAATGGCATAGGTTAAAATGAAAAGTAAAATCATAATCAACATGATTCGCAACAGAAGATTGGCTGTTGTCACCGCTGCTGCTTCCCTAGAGAGAGACCTGATAATCAGAACAAACCTGAAAGCCTGATGCATATACAGTTTGCAAGGTTTCAAAGTTAGGTCAGCTCAGTATGTCTGATGTAGCTAGTGCCGTAACTTCGTATAGAGCTTTTGGGGTGTTAATCCAGTTAATATAGTTTAAAGTACCAATAAGCCACTAAAGCACCAGAGGTGACAAGTTGTTTCGTATTATTTTAAGTGTCACTAGATGCATAGAATAAGCTTTAGATAATTTTACTCATTTTTGTGCTGTATCTTATAATCATGGTAAGGATTAATGAAGGGCAATAAATAGCTTTAATATGCAGAGATAATTTTAAGGCTGAGCAGTTAGTTTCAAATAATTAAATTAGGTAGTTAGATACTTTTAGTTATTATAAATTTACATGGCTACTATAAAAATTTTATTTTTTAACTGTTTGTTAAAAAAATACCATTAAAATCACAATCTAATAACATTTCACAGTTTAAAATACAAGTAATTGATTTTAAACTGTGAAATACATTGATTGTAATTTAAAATACATTGATTCTTAAAAGATATTAGGATAATTAATTACGCATTAAAATCCACAAAATATTTGTGTTTTGTAACTACAACATACAACAAAATATTTATGTGTCATTTTAATTTGAAGCCTTCCCTGACATTTTGGCTAATTTATATCAATTTCCTTCTGTTTAAGCATATTTTCTAACAATTAGAAATTGGTTTTAATATGCAAAACAATGTTCCCACTAGTTTCTGCTTGCTTTATCTCCTAGCTTGTCAATCTCTCGACAATGTACCTATGAGGTTTTGCATAATCTGGTAAAAGTTAAATGTTCTAAAACCCCTGACAGACACGAAGCAAATTATCGCTATGTCTGAACGTAACTTTAAAGTCAGATAAAGGTTTAAATAAACCTCTTATTCAAAAAAAAACTTAGAACTTACATTTTTCCAGAATATTCTAGAAACTTGGGTCTATAAATCTTGCCTTCAAATCCTTCTACTTTTCCCAAGTTGCAATGCCTAAAATCCTAAAGAAAAATTAACCCTACCAATCCTGCAATAGCGAAATGCCAGAAATATTTTAAGGAAAGGGGGAAAAAAAAGAGGAAAAATGTGTAAAATCATTTTATATGGAAAAATGATGCATAATTGATGCTGACGAAGTGGTGTGAGACAACTGCATGGGAAAACCATGAAAAAATTAAAAAGAAGTCATTTTCAATTAATTACATAATTATTTTGTTTTTGCTAAGAATTATTTCATAAATTGGTCTTTATTACCTTGTTTATTTTTCACATTCAAAATATTGCACAATAAGTCGCCAAAATGGAAACTAATACAGTCAAAAGTCGTTAATTCGGACACCCATAA